ACAGTTTTATAAATATCAATCCATAATCAGTACCTTGTGTCTAGGCCCCTGGTGGGAGGTGTCAGAAAGTAGTTAAGGGAGGTATCACATGTCAGAGGTGGGAGGAGTCAGTCATTGATGGGAGGTATCAGATATCGGTGGTGGGAGGGTCAGATGGCAGGGGTGGGAGGAGTCAGTCATTGGTGGGAAGTGGCATATGTCCATGGTGGGAGGTGTCATATCAGAGGCAAAAGGTGTGAGATAGCAGAGGTGGGAGGTATCAGTCAGTGGTGGGAGGTGTCAGTCAGTGGAGGGACATGTCAGATGTCAGAGGTGGGAGGTGTCAGTCAGTGGTGAGAGGTGTCAGATGTCAGAGGTGGGAGGTGTCAGTCAGTGGTGGGAGGTGTGAGAATCGGTTGTGGGTGATGTCAGATGTCAATGGGAGTGAGTACATGGTGGACTCAGAATTGCTTACCTCATTACCAGGAAGCACAACAGAGAAGAGGAGAGGGCCATGTTTCTAGCACTTGGGTGAAGGCACAATTCTGGCGACCTAAAGACTTCTAATAATGATCCATTTTAGTAGTGACCCCTCACAGCTCGAACATTTAACATTTGGGCCTTTGGAAGAATACTCTAGCAAGCAAACTATAGCAAGCAATTTTTAAAACTTGGCCAGGAGCTTATGAGTTTTAGTTTATATTTTTTTACAGGGGAAGAAGGAGTCCTGGGGCTTGAACCCAGGACCCGGGGGTTCTGTCCTGGAGCTTGTGCTCAGAGCTAGAGATCTAGGACTTGAGCCACACCCCCACTTCTGGTTTCTTGGGTGGTTAATTGGAGATGAGAGTCTCACAGACTTTCCTGACTGGGATGGCTTTGTGTAGCTTACTCCTCAAATCTCAGCCTCCTGAGTAGCTGGGATTACAGATATGTGCCACTGGCACATAACTCCCAGCTATATTTAATGTTTTATGATTGGAGTTGTAACTAGCCCTAGTTGGTCACATAGAGAGCCTCACCTGCAGGAATTCTGAGACTCACAGGCTAATTCTGCTTTAGAACTAATTTTAGTGAGCTGTTAGGAAGAAGAGCTGTGGATAGAGAAGGTGCTTTTCCCATTCTCATTGATTTTGTTGTTCGATCTTTGTGACTTATAAGAAAGAGACTGACAATGATCAGCCTCTAGATCACTCTGCTAACCAGGATGTGAATTAAAATACTGCTTTTTTCTGCCTACTTGTGCTTTCAATTATGCATTTCCAATATGAATATTTAATGAGGGCTGAGTGTGTACTAAAGACTGTGGTAATCCTCACAGTACCTGGAAACTAGGTGCTCACTGGGGAAAAGAAGAAACCATAATCAACTGTAATGGAGAAAGAAGTAAGTACGCAGAATAGACACGATGAAGAGCTCACTCAATAGCAACTTGTGAAGGCCTGTTCCCATTGAAAGCAAGTACTGGACAAAGTGTTTTTTCAATACATGATATACATAGCTGTATTTGGAGAATAGAAGGACATCTCAAGTGTCAGGTAAGGCTAGAGCTCACTCTTCTCTATGTCAGGAAAACCCAGATGACAAACCATTTGTATCCATTTCCCTATATTATTTCTTATATATCGGTATAAAGTAATAAATAACACTTTATGTACATGCATAAGATTTACATACAAATATGTACTATTTGTTTACTTTTATTAGGCACAGAAGCTCTTTAAAAGACAGTACAGAGGAAAAACACGGAAAGCCTAGGGCATCCATTTCACATGGAAGACCACAACTACTTCGGTATGTTTCTGCTGACAAGACACCCTTGAGCAATGGGCTAATTATACCATAGCAATTACATGATAATATTGAATATCTTTCAATGTATTTACAAGACAGCTTTTTAATGTAAGATTACTTGCAATGAAGGGATTGAGGGTAATTAGTTGACTCTAGGAAAAGAAATACATTTCATACAAAGATCAGAGAAGTAAGTTAGAAAAGAAATATGGAACTCCATGCTGATCCATTGTCTCCGAATGGTCATAACCTACAGAAGTGCTGTCATCTGTCCGCACCTCCTCTTGTTCATCAGGAAGCATATTGGAAATATGGCATCACAAGCTAATCTATTGCCTCAGAAGAGTCATGATGTCATGACTACCAAAGTGGTGTCATCTGTCTGTGCCTCCTCTTGCTCACTATGAAAGATTCTTACAATTCTAAAGAGGCATATATGATTGCTTGTTAAAACAATAAATATGAGACCAAGTAGCAAATACCTTACTTGATTGTCATGTCAACAAATAGTGATAGAATCTGTTGGCCATCTTTATTAGAGTTTCATGGTGGTAGTGGTAGAAATGACAGTGATCCCACAATACAAAGTGTAGATAGTTGGGGGGGGGAGCTTAGGTACTATTTCATTTGTGCTACTTTTACTTTATGGATCACTGTAATAAATTACTCACTTTGATATCTTTTTGAACTTTGTATTTGAAATAATTATGGATGGATAGTAATTTGTAGGGAGAGTGAAAGAGTGGTCTCATATCCATCACTCAGTTCCCCAAAAGGTTATGTCTACATAACTATGGTACAAGGGCATGGAGATTAACTTTGGTACAATGCATACGTCTTTTACCACATGGGTAGATTTGTATAATGAACATCACCGAATGGAACTTCCTCATGTTATCTCCTTTTTTTTTTTTTTTTTTTTTACCCTAGTTGTGAGGCTTGAACTAAGGGCCTGGGCACTGTCTTTGAGCTTTTTTGCTCAAGATAGCACTCTACCACTCTACCACTTTGAGCTCTATTTCCAGTTTTTAGGTGGTTAGTTGGAGATAAGAGTTGCATGGCTTTTCCTGCCTGGGCTAGTTTTGAACTGTTATCCGCAGATATCAGCCTCCTGAGTAGCTAGGATTACAGGGGAGAGCCACCAGGTGCCTGGTGATGATAACCCTTTATCAACAAACTTATCTGCTTTTACTAAGCCATTCCTAACTCCCAGCAACTGCTAATCATTTTTCCATGTCTATAATTTTGTCACTTTGAGAACATCATATAAATAGTACCATACGTTTTTCATCACCATAATATCTTGGGATTTATCCAAATATTGTATGGATCAATACCTAGCTCTTTTTATTGCAGACTACAATTCCATGGAATGGGTAGATGGTAATTGATGTAGTCATTCCTCAATAGAAAGACATTTTTGCTGTTTGATGTTTCTGTTTTTGTTTTTCCTTCCCTTCCTTCCCCTTCTCCTTCCCTTCCCCTTCCCTTTGCTTCCCTTCCCTTTGCTTCTCTTCTCTTCTTTTGTGCTAGTCCTAGGGCATGAACACAGGCCCCGAATACTGTCCCTGAGCTTTTTCTGCTCAAAGCTCTACCACGTGAATCACAGCTCCACTTGCAGCTTTGTTGATAGTTAATTTGAGATAAGGAGCTGGCTTTGAACTGTGATCCTCTGTCTCCTGAGTAGTTAGGATTACAGGCCACTGGTGCCTGGCCTTATTTGAAATAAAGCTTCCATGAACAATCATATGCAGGTTTTTGTCTGACTATAAATTCATAGAGTTGGTTCCTATCTCTTTTTTTTAACCATATAAATTTTATTTTAGTTTATTAATGAATTTACTTTTTAGCTGTATGGGGTCTAAACTCAGGGCCTCGTGCTTGCTAGGCAGCCATTCTACCACTTGAACTACATTTTCAGTCCTCTCCTCTCTTTTTATTTTTATTTTTTTGGGTCCGGTCGTGGGGCCTGAACTCTGGGCCTGGGCGCTGTCCCTCAGCTCTTCAGCTCAAGGCTAGCGCTCTACCACTTGAGCCACAGCGCCACTTCCGGCTTTTTTCTTTTTGCTTATGTGGTGCTGAGGAATCGAACCCAGGGCCTTGAGCATGCAAGGCAAGTGCTCTACCACTGAGCCACCTTCCCAGCCCCCTCCTCTCTTTTTAAATCCACTTCATCAAAGCTCTTTTGAATTGGCATATTCAGGTCATTTACCTTTAAGGTAATTATTTATATTTTAAGGCCTAAGCCTACTATTTCACAATTGTTTTTAAATTTCTTCTGTTTCTCTTTTTTTTGCTTTGTCCCTATATTTCTGTGGAATTCTTGGATACTTTCTAGAATTTTACTTTAACTTGGCTACGGTTTCTGTGTTTTTCCCCCCTTACCTCTTTTTGTATAGCCATTTCTGGCTTATGTTCTAAGATTATTTAATTTAAACATGACTTATTATAACTTACTAGTGTTGGTGTTATCAAACAGAATGAGTTACAGATGCTTTGACTCCCTTGTAGACCTCTTGTGGAACACAGAAAGTCTCTGTAGCTTGTCTGTTGCCCATATATGTGTCACAGCAACACAGCCGTCCCAAACATGTCCAGGCTGCAGATTTTATGTGGGGATTTCTTGTTCTCAGCAAGAGCGTTGAAAAGATTGAGGAGACTATCAGTGAGAGCTCCTCAGAGAGCGAGGAAGATGAAGAAGCAACCGATCATCGCCAGGAAGCCAATGCAGATTTGCCATCAGAATACTGGCAAATTCAGAAGTTGGTGAAATACCTAAAGGTAAGAAAGACTTCTTGTTTTGTACAGTGTTTATCTGAGTCCTTTCCTCAATATATATACATATAGGTATATATCTATACATAATTTTTGTATTGTTTATTAACTGTCACTTTCAAATACTAATAAGTCATCTTTTTATTTTTGTCAGTCATGGGGCTTGAACTCAGGGACTGGGGACTGTCCCTGAGCTTTTTGCTGAAGGCTAATGTTCTACCACTTTGACCCAAAGCATCACTTGCAGTTTTCTGGTGATTAATTGGAGTTAAGAGTCTCATGGACTTTCCTGTCTGGGCTGGCTTCAGTGATCCTTGGATCTCAGCCTCCTGAGTAGTTAGAATTACAAGTGTGAGCTGCCAGCATCCAGCTTCTTTGTTCACTGAGGGGCAAAGGGAAAGGTCTTATAGGGAGTGGTCTTCATAGAGCAGTGAGGCTTCCTGGTACCAGCCTTTTCTCCTTACATGTGTTGTGCCACCATTTTATGATTCACGGTATCATGTGATGGAAAGAGCAAGGATTTTGGATGCTGGACTTAGGATAAATTTTTACTTATAGCACTTACATTTGTTGCAAAGTTAATGTTTTGGTTTGGTTTGGTTTGGTTATTTGTATCTGTGCTGGTAATGAACTCAGGGTCTCTTGCTTTTTGTTGGCTTTTTCTCTCAGGGCTGGTATTCTACCACTTGAGCTACAGTTCCACTTTTGGTGTTTTGCTGGTTCATTGGAGATAAAAGTCTCATAGATTTGTCTCCTTGGGCTGGCTTTGAACCATGATCCTCAGATCTCAGCCTCTCCAGTAACTAGGACTACAGGCATAAACCATCAGTACCCAGCAAATTTATGGTTTTGACTCCTACTTTCTTCAATCTATGGAGTGAAATGAATGAGCCCTGTACTGTAGATTATTTTAAAAATTGAAAAAATCCATTTGAAACATGTAGCGTGGTGTCTGATACATTGTAGAAGCTTCAGATATATATGTTGGTCCACATATAGTTCTGTCTTCAGTCAGGCAGCATGGATGAAAATATTTTGCATGATAAAAATGGTGGAATTCAAAGTATTCACTTGGATAGTAGGAAGGACAAGAAAGTATAGCTTGCCAAAACCTAGATTAATATTCATTTCTGTGATCTGATAGCAGATGTCAGCATTACCTAGGCTTGTGAAAAGCTGCAGTGCAGAAGTACTTCTTTAAGGATATCACTTGCAAATAAATGGATGGACTTGGAAAAATTATGTTAATTGAAGTAATTGAGGCTTAAGGAGACAAAAGACGCCATGTTTTTCTCTCATATATATATGTGTATATATATATATATATAAGCTAGAACTAAGTTATAAATGTAAAAGTAAACACACAATGGGATTGTATGCAAATGTACATACATGTATGAATCAAAATATGGTATTTTCAGGGGAGAAATCAAATGGTGTAATTCCTTAGAAAAACTGACAGTCCAACAGAATGAATGCAGTTATAATATCCAATGCATATCCTACAACATTAAGAAAATTGAGAGTAGAATTGAGTTGAGAAGGAAGAGGGAGAATGATAAAAGGAATGGCATCAATCAAGATGCTTTGTATTCTTAAACTGATTTGTTGTGTAATGACTTTGTACAATGACTTAAAGATAATAATTATGGTAATAATAATAGAACCAAATCTAAATTAAAAAATATTTTTCATGATTTTTCTATAACTTTGGTAAAATTAGTCAGAGCATTTTTCAGTCAGTTTGCCTATTCAAAGATACTTTTGTGACTCTCAGACTGCAAAGAACCATCTCATGCTTTGAGACTGACCTCAATGTAGCATGCAAAAATAGCTTGTGTGCACATTTTTTTGAGAGTTTTATAAAGGCCTACTGCATGGACACAGTCTCGAATGCATAAAATTGCTAAAGAAATTTCTCTTGCAAGAAAAATATGTTCTTTTCTTCTAATGGGCATGGTTTCAATTAGAATTCCAATCATTCTTCAAGGAAAAAAAGAATAATTCTCCTGAATTCTAATCCTAAGAAAAATTAGTAAAATGGGAAGAAGTTTTCTAATTCTCCCTGGAGATCATAAGGACATGACTGACTCAAAGGAATCTATGGCTGTCATGAAAAAGGAAGAGCAGAGTGCGCTGAGGACAGAGTCAGAAGCAAACACATTAGGACAGGAACTACCGGGCTACAGCTCTGCTTGTAGCTGTTTGGGTACCCTAAATGGGTGTCTGCTACTAATGTAAATCATTCTTACAAAACTTAAAATCCCATTAGCGAAATCCCATTAGTTAAGTCTATACTTGAAATTTGGTTTCAACCTGTGATTCATGGTGACTTTACCAAACTTGTTGGAAGATCTGAGTGTCATATATCCCCCATGTTTGCTGCCATTTCAGTGTTTGCATACACTGCACATTGCAAATCAGGCTTTGTGAGTAATTTGGTAGGAAATGCAAAGAAAAGAGGTGTGCTTTTGTAGTTCATTCCACTATGAAATGTGTAACTGATTTACAATCTGAACTAACAAAACACATATAAAAATCAAATGATCTGAATTAGAGTTGAATTGCTAAACCATAGCATATTAACTACCTATAGTAAGGTGTTTTTTTCTTTTGTTGTTGTTTGTGATATTGTGGGTTGAACTTCAGGGTGTTGTACATGAAGGTCTTTACCACTTGCACCACATCCCAAGTATTTTAAATTTGATTTTCAGGTTGAGTCTTATGCTAACTTTTTCCTGGCTAATCTCAAACCATGATCTTTCTGTCTCTGCCTACCAAGTAGTTGGGATTACAGGTATACACACCACCATGGTGACTATTTTCATGTTATTACCCGGCTTCAATGTCTATTACAAAAGCATAACACTAGCATAAAATAGATGAAACAGAATGAATGAAACAGAAGAGAGATAGTCAAAAAAGAACCAAACATATATACTCAATTGATTTTTGACAGAGAGCCAAGAACACACAACAGAGAATGGATAACCTCTTTAATAGTTGGTGTTGAGAAAACTAGAGACTCATTACAGCATGAAACTGTGCCATTATCTCACATTTTATATATAGGTTAACTAAAAAAATGAAGTAATGACTTAAAATACAATTCTTGAAATTGCAAATGTACTAGATGAGAAAAAAAGGAAAATGTTCTAGGATAACCCTAACTTTTTTGGATATTATTGAAAATGACAAAGAAAGGAAGGAAGGAAGGAAGGAAGGAAGGAAGGAAGGAAGGAAGGAAGGAAAGAAGGAAAGAAGGAAGGAAGGAAGGAGAGAGGAAAGAAGGAAGGAAAAAAGAAAGAGGGAGAGAAAGATTGATAAACCAAAAGCCTTTGCCTTGCAAAGGAAATAATAAAAATGTGAAGACATTCCACAGATTGGGAGAAAATATTTACAAACCATGTACCTGATGAGAGGCTAAAACCCGAAGAAACAAGGAACTCAAACAACAGCAAGAAAACAAACATTCCAATTTAAAAATGGGCAATAAGATCTAAGCAGATGGAGCTGGTAAGATGGCTCAGTGGTAGAGTGTTTGCCTTGCATGCACGAGGCCCTGGATTTGATTCTTCGGCACCACATAAGCAGAAAAAGCCAGAAGTAGAGCTGTGGCTCACGTGGTAGAGTCCTAGCCTTGAGCTGAAGAGCTCAGGGACAGCGCCCAGGCCCAGAGTTCAGGCCCCACGACCGACCCTGCCCCTCCCCCCCCAAAATCTAAGCAGACATTTCTTAAGAGAAGAATTACAACGGGAATGTAGCTTAGTGGTTAAGCACTTGCTTAGTATACCTAGAGCTCTGAATTCCATTTTTAGTATCACCCATAAATCAACCAATCAAGTCATCAATAAAATTAAATAAGGGTTACAAATGCCAGTAGGCCTATGAATAGGTGCTCATCATTACAAATCATGGATAACTGCAAATTTAAAACTACTATGAGATATTACCTCACTCAATTAGCATAATGACTATTATAAAAAGTTGAAAGCTAACAATTTCCAACAAGGACATGTGCACTTTTGTTGAAAAACTAAAGATAGAGTCAACATCAATGCAAGTACAATATATATATATAATATTCATTTTATTCATATATATTTTTTTTCACCTAGGCTGTTAGTCATGAGCAAAGTTCTAGACTATTAAATAGGAAAATTAATGATGGCTTTGTGTGTTTTTAAATCTTAGGAGTATTTTTGTTGTTGGTGATGATGGTCATGGGGTTTGAACTCTGGGCCTAGGCACTATCCCTGAGCTCTTCAGCTCAAGGCAAGTGCTCTACCACTTGAGCCACAGTGCCACTTCTGGTTTTCTGGTGGTTAATTGGAGATAAGTCTCATAGACTTTGCTGGCTGGGCTGGCTTGGAACCGCGATCCTCATATCTGAGTCTACTGAATAGCTAGGATTATAGATGTGAGCCATGGGTGCCTGACTAGGTGTATTTTTACAATGTATAATATTTTTGTAACATCCTTCAGTGATGTTTACTTAGCATTTATCTTGTGCTAATGCTCCCTTTGTTTAGTATCTTCTATTATCAAATTCTAGGATCCTTTCTTTTTTTTTTTCTGGTTGGGTATGGGGCCTGAACTCTAGGCCTGAGCACTGTCCCTCAGCTCTCCAGCTCAGGGCTAGTGCTCTACCACTTGAGTCACAGAGCCACTTCCTATCAAATTCTATAAGTGGAGATCATTTTTTAATATTGTTGCAATCTATAGTTGGATGATACATTTCTGCAGTTTGGATATGAAATGTCTGTTGTAGGCCTATGTGTTAAAGACTTGGTCCCTAAGGCGGTACTACAGAAGGTGTGGGGCCTACCAGCAGTACTTTAGGTCATTTCTTGATGGGAATTGTATGAGCTGCCAGGCCTCTTCCTCTATTTTTTGCTTCCTGACAATGAGATAAATGGGTTTTGCTCCAGCCTGTGTTCCATTCATGATGTGCTGTCACAGCCCCAAAGAAATAGAGTCAATGATTATGGATAGAAGCCTCTAAA